TGTCTGCTCAGATAGTCCCGGCAGTGCCTCCCAGCTTAGCAGTCCATGAACCTCCACCAGTGCAACTGGAGGCAGCTACTGCACCCTCTGCCCAGCAGTGCACTACCCTCCGGAGTAGCAAGTCAGTGCTCAAATACGGCCGTCGCGAAGCCCCGCTCTCCCTCCCCACAGCGCAGGCTGGGGATACTCACTGTGTTGCAGGCGTTGGCTCGCTCCACCTTGGAGAGCTTGCTGGTGTCTGTGTTGAAGACGTTCATCTTCTCCACCAGGCACGTCAGGGCCGTCTCTGTGGCTTCTCCTACCTTCTCGTAGACTTTTTTTGACTGGAGAGCGGAAAGAAAGACACGTTCGGTTTCAAACGGCAGCGCGAGCAAAAAGCTGCCAAAGTTTCTGGGCAGCATGGGCTGGCAGCTCTGCTCACCTCATTGTAATCCAGCGAGGAGTCGTTGCAGAGGGCGCAGATGGTGGCCAGTTCCACCAGCCCGTCGTACTGCCCGCACTCCACGCGCTTCTCGTCCTTGAGGCTGCGGAGAGAAAGCGACCGTTCAGAGCCTCCAGCGGCACCACGCTGCAAGTTAAAATAACAGCCAGTGGCTCCCAAGGAAGCGCTGCAGGATGGCAGGGGAATTCCTGCAGTGCTGGGGCTGCACCCAAGCAAGGGGCAAGCGTGACCCTGCGATGGGCAGCTCATAAACAGCAGCTCTTCACTAACAAAACCTGCTGCAAATGGCTCTTCCCACTACATCCCCCCTGGCTGAGGCTGGCTAGGCTGGATGCTGATGAACGTGGCAAGGACGAAATGGGATTTTATGGGAGCTCTGGAGTTTCTCTGGCCCCTGCACAGGACCAGGATCTCCTGTGCAGGGATACGAAGGGGACCTTTAGGTCTGAGCTTTTTGGTGCTCCCAAACTTAACGATCCAAGCACTCTGTAAGGGAGTCCCACGCGTCGGCCACAGCCACCCCACCAAAGAACCAGAAGCCATTCCTCATCCAAACCTGCCCATGGCAGAAAGGAGAACTTTTCTGGGAGCTTTTGGGGGAAACAACAAATTATTCTAACTCAAGAAGAGGTAACTGCAGGTTAGAGCTCCGTAAGCCCAGGCGGCCATCGGCTCGCTGGAAAAATAATCTGTCAGGCATTTATTAGGATCGGTTTATTCCACTGCTGGTTCCCAATGGAAAGAACATGCTGGAGCCCTTGTTACAGCTCAGGAGCGGAAAGCAGGGAGCGGCCAAGAAAATCTGAAAAATCTGTTTGCACAGGGACAAAGAGCGGAGCTGTTCAGATAGAGGACGAGAGAGCAGCCGCCGCGGCCCTGCGAATGGGACAGGGCTGGGGCAGGACACAGGGAGCCTGCGGGTGCCGGGGGGTGGTTTCCCGCACCAAAAGGTTGGAAATCCCAGGAAAGGCTTAAACCAGCCCTCCAGTCCCTGCAGCTTCAGGTAGGAAGGAGCAGGATTTCTGGGGCAAGGACTAAGCGAGCCCTCGCATGGTGGTGAGGACAGGTGAGGACAGTGCCGAAACAACGCTTGGAAGCAACGGGATTGCTGCAGGGCAGCAAACAGCTCTCCTGAAGACACAGTCCTGAAGGACAATACAAATACAGAGATTTGGGCTTTAACAGACGTGTGTTCAGCTCCTCAGTCCCTTCAGTTTAATTGAGACACGCTGATTAATACCAGCTTATGACCTGGCTCACTTTTTCATGGAAATTTCTATCCCAGGATGAAGCTGGCTTTATAAATATTCATGAATTAAGCCTGAGGCTGGGATGAATTACAGTCCTCAGCAGATGAGCAAAAGAAACCACGGGGAAGACTTGTCTGTGAGCGGGAAGCGCTCCAGAGCTCCAGTGCTTTCACCCAGCCGCTCTCCTCGCCTGCCCTTTCTGTCCTCTCCTTCCGAGGCTCCCGCTGTGCCCGAGAGCATCGCGTGCCGGGGAGCACCAAAGGGATGGGGAACTTCTGACCTCGGAAAACCCTTCCTGGGTTTCACATGGACAGGAAGGCAGGGGCAGATGGCCACTCACCGGGCCAGTGTGGCCAGCGCTGCGCACGTGGAAGGCGGCAGCAGAGTCGGCTGGTGGTAGTGACACAAAAACCATGAGGTGCCCCATGCGCAAAGCAGCTGCAGAGCAGCTTGCTCTCCTGGGAGAAAAAGCTCTAGTTCCCTCCAGGAGCAGTGCAAGGATGCGTGGCCTGACTCAGGAGCACGCTCAAGGTAGAAGGAGCAATGGAAGGAGCTCCTCACATCTGCAAGGTCAACACAGCCCCACCAGCAGCAGAGAGGAACTCTGTAGAAGATGACCCAGAACCTCCTTGAGAAGTAAAACCACTAGAGGCACTATCACATCCAATTGCAGCACTTTCAGGAGAAGTGGAATAAACAAACATTGTCAAAAAAAAAAAAAAAGAAAAAACCCACATGTTTTAGAATGCATCAGGGAGAAGTCACTGGCTCTCACTTGCAGTGCTAGGCTGCGATTCAGCAAAGCCCACGTTTCCCCAGCAGCACATCTGAAACTCCTCGACGTCGACGGGACTGCGCGCCAGGCTGCGCTGGCCACCAAGCCCATCTTTGCTGAGGACGCTGGCCTTGGTGAGAACGTCCCATGCCAGGTCTGCAAGCCCAGGACAAGGACCTCTGTCTGGCCAGGTGGTGGGGCCGCTGGCCAAGCTGTCAGATCCAGCAATGTGGGAGCTGCATGCAGGTAGGAGCAACAGTGACCATCGCATGTGCAAAGGTGTGGCCCTCCAAAACTTGGAAAAAGCATTTGGAAGGAGCACATACTGTGGAAAACCTTATGCAGCATTCAAGTGTTTCCACACTTGATGTTTCCATCTGCACTAACCTCTCTGGTTCAAGAGTAGACTCCTTTTGTTGTGGTTGCTGGTGAAGGAGAGCCGAGAGTCCTACCAAGACCCCAGCCCCGCGCTCCGGGAGCCCTGGCCCTGGGCAGACAGCAGGGCTGGAAGACAGGGCAGCAGGAGGCATCTCCCACACTTCACGTGGAGTAAGAGCTGGCGACGAACCCAGTCCCACAGAAAACATGGGCAGCCCTGGACATAACTAACACCTGCAAGGCGGCCCTACCAACAACACAGACTTGGAAACAGCATTTCCAAGCGCAATGTTCAGCGCGGTGGCAAACCCACACCACGCTCCTCCCTCTCACTGCTCTGCCTCCACGGCCCCATGTGCGCTGGGGCTGGCAGGCTCCCTGCATGGGTCCTCCCAGCACCCAGAAACCCCCTTTTCTCCCAGGAAAGGGGAGGGCAGCAGCTGGCCGGGACACAATACTCACATCTGTCCCTCGGGAGCATAGGTGGAGCCCGTGATGCTGAACTCGTGCAGGCTGCACTCGGAGCCCTTCACCTTCTCCATAATGAACATCTGCAAGAAGGAGAGATGGAGACAGTGCATTAGGTGTCTTTTCCCCCCTTAGGAGACACAGAACTGGCCTGGAGCCCTGCAAGTTGCCATCATCTCATCGATGGAGACATGCCTGGTGTTCCCCTGCCTTTTTTGCCTCCTCTTGGTCTTCTATCCCATCTATCCCAAAAGTTGTCCCTAGGCAGTTTCTAAGAAGCTGTCTGCATTTCACTTGGAGCTGGGAAGGAGGAAGGTGCTGGCATGGTGCGGGGTGAGGTGCAGGTGCCAGTCCTGAAGCACCAAAACCAACCGCTGTCTCCTTGTTTCCAAACGCTGCAGGGTGCAAAACAACACGTGCTTCCTTAAGAGTGGCTTTCTTATTAAAACTAACAGCTTCGGGGCTCTTTTCTTTTTTCCACGCCTGTTTAAAAATATTTTAAAAGGCTGTTTTGCAACGCACGGTGACCCCGGGTGACCCGGTTTCCTGCCCATCTTCATTGTATGCCCAGCTGGGCACGGGCTGCCCCGCGCTGGGACTTGGCGCGAGCGGCTGGCAGGGCAGGTTCGCAGAGGAGGGAGCTGCAACGAGGACGGGCAGTGCTTCCATCCTAAAATAACAGCCAGAGTGGCAATCCAGGGGGAGACACCGAAACATCCTCGGCAGTGGCTCCAAGGGACTTTTCGGGGGGACTCCCAGCGCGGAGGTGGCCGGGGAAACCTGCTCCAGAGGGGCCGCGCTTCCCTTACAAGGCCCGAGGGCAAACACTGGCTCCAGTGTCAAGCAGCGGAAACCGCGCTGGCACCGCACCAGCTTTCACTCTAGTAACAAGCCTCTGCCTTTAACCCTTTCAAACCATCCCAGGATGTATTCACTTCTTTTTTCTTAAATGCAACAGAGAGATCTAAAGAAAACCTGCTAAAACCTACTGCAAGGCACGTATAAAGCTGCATGGCAGACACAGAGCTGTTTATAAGATCATATTTATCAGATTTTCTTGGATCAAGCCACGCACAGAGCAGCACCGCTCTGCCCTCTGCGTTGGACCCCATCAAGGCATCCGACAGGATGAGAGCTGGCGGCTGGTCCCGAGGGAAACCCTGAGCAAAAAGGACTCCCATGCCCGAGTGTCCAGGTTTATTCTGGATAGACTCAACTGCTGAAGCAGCCCCAGGCTCTTGCAGACAAACGAGCGTGCAGCCCGTGCCCCGCTCAAGTTCCTGCACGGGCCGGGATCCGCTGCAAGGATCCCGGCTGGGAAAGCAAAGCCGGAGCAGTGACTGCATCTCCTTCTGAGCTCCGCTTGCAACAGCATCCTCTGTTGCCTGGAATATTAAGTAATAGGGTGCTGTACACTGAGTTTCTTGAGAGTGCAATTTAGACTGGACATTAATCTCAACAACAGCTGATGGATGGCCATGCCGTGAGCTCCATCCAGAGGTATTAACTTATTGCATGGAGCCTGCAGGCTTCTCAGAAAAAGAGGAAGCGACTTGCAAGGACAGGGCTGAAACCCTTCTCATCCCCTTTCTCCACTTGCTAAATAGACCTACGGCTGACACAACCCATGGTCCGGAGAAAGTCGCTTCTTGCACAGCGTGTGTTACCAGAAATGCACCGGCCTCAAAAATGGACACACGCAACTTGAGTTTAAGCAGCCCCAGCTTGGCTTAATCCAATTCCCTTCCACGCTGAAGAACTGAAACCAACTTATTTTTAAGCATCCATGCCGGAGCTCAAGGTGATTTGAGGGAACCCATGGCAGAGACACCATCAAACAAAGCTGGGCAGGTGAGAACAGTGCGGCCTCCTCATCCAGGAAAGACTTGGAGGTGGCAGCAGCAGAACCACCCCAGGATCAGGGAGTTTTTCTGTACATTTTTCCAGGATATCGGCAGGCTTCTGCACGGCTCCCAGCCGCTGAGCCGGCTGCTTGGGGCAGGCATGACCGCCCAGGGCAAATATTTAACCACTCGCCGGCAGCAAATCCGCCAGCGGTATCCGCATCCCTCCCTTACCGCCGCCGGGAACTCCCCAGGGTTAACTATTAACAGGCTCCCTTTGTGTCCTGAAGCCAGCCAGGCTTTGAGTAATGCGCTCCGAGAGCCGGGATGCGGCCAGCTGAACAAAACGGATATCGGAACGGGGGGGACAGGGCAGAGGATAAATTGAATTAATGCAGGGCTGGATTTCCAACCTCACTGCGGGACAAGTTTGGGCTGAATTCTAGGAAAATGAGGATTGATGATACAGCATGCTTGCTTGCCGCTGCCCTGCTCGCTCTCCCCCTTATCCAGTCTCCTTTTCCTTGCTCTGACCGCAAGAGTTGACGGGACTTTTGAATTCCCAGTGGGCAAAGAGCAGTTCTTTGGTGGGCAGCTTGGGGAAGGCTCTGTCACGTCTCACCTCTGTTTCTGAAGATCCCGGAGCTGTGGAAAGCCCAAATGAGGGGGTAACCCCTCGCTTGTTCCCCCAGCAGCAGCGGAGCCGCACTCAGGCTATCTTGAGCACCCTAGAGCAAAAACCCTAAAGAGTAGTGGGGAGGAAAGGAGGAAGGAATTGGCGGTTGGCCTGGAGTGAAAAATCAGCCCTGAACATCATTCTCTGGTGTTACTACCCAGGTTCCTGGAAATGCCTTCTGCTACCCTCATTGAGCATCTGATAAAGGGGATGCCCTTCTCCACAGGGCTGTGCGCTCCGCTCCAGTGCTGGGGAAACTGGAAGAACCGTGGCAGAAGAGGAAGTGCCTGCCAGGCACAGGCTGCTGCCGGCCGCGCTCCAGAGGCTCTGGAGGGAGAGGGACGGCTCCTCTTCCACCACGGCTTGCGCCAGACGGCAGCGGGGCGTCAACGGCTCGCGGGATGCTCCAGCAACATCTCATCTTAAATCACGGCTAGAAACAGCCGACACTTCAGTCGCTTGTAATTTCTCGTTTCCAAACACGCAGCCTATGCTCTGCCTACGGGGTGGTCACTGTGTTGCACGTTGCTACCCAGTTTTTGGAGGGACGGTGGCCAGGTCTGTTTTTCCCCTTGGCGACACATTTTCCAAGGTTCTTTTAGAAAGCCAAAGCGCCAAGACTATGAAAAGAAAAGCTTTCCTAAGGCTCAAGGATTAATGCGGAAATTGAGACGTACTTGGATTGTCTGGTCTTTCCTAGCAAATCATCTTCCCGCACAGCCAAGTGAATCCAGGGGCTTCACAGGGGGTTGAGGCTCTCCTTCTAGACCAGAAGCCTTGCAATCTCCCAGCCAACTTACCCTGGTGCTCCCTCTATAATGAGCGTTTTTCAGCCCAAACTCAGCTGCATGCGCAGTGCCACAAGACTGCACATTACAAACTTTCCAACGACTGAGCGCGGGGAAACAAATCATGGTTTAATCAGGTCACATCAACTTGCTTCCAAACCCTGCACGTCTCGGTAGCTGCTCTTATATATAGGCGGCGCAGAAAGTCCCACTGAATCTCCAGTTTCAGTAGTCAAGGCTTTATAATTTTGCATGGTTCAGAACATCTTCCTGGCTTGGTCAAAAACAAGGGATAAAATAGTCAAGAGAGGAAACCAAGTGCTGATCATGTTGGGTTCTCCAGGAGCTCTATCTTCATGCTGATTCCCAGCAGGAAAATGTGCTCTCTAGCAAGAAAGCCAGGAAACATGTCTGCAAAACCACAGCACCCAACCAGTGCATTTGTAAGAGGTAGTGAAAAAGCAAATTGCTAATTACGGCCCATGCAAAGATAAGCAAACGAGCCATTCCGCAGCAGTGGTCAGGCAGAAAGGGAAGATCAGGGTTTCTTATTGATTCAACACTAAAAAAACACTTCTCATGCTCACTTTCACATTCCTAATACCCAAAATACTGCATCGCCAGGTAACAAAACAAGTTGTAGCTTTGTGACACCCTGGCCAAGCTGGGACCGAACCCAACTCGTCCCCAAGATCATCAGCATCCAGAAGCCACTGTTGCCACTCACCTAAAAATGCAGAACACCCTGCGGCCCTCGCACTCACCCGGCACACAGACATCTGGTTGGTGGTGAGGGTGCCCGTCTTGTCGGAGCAGATGACGGAGGTGCAGCCCAGGGTCTCCACGGACGGCAGGCTCCTCACGATCGCGTTCTTCTTGGCCATGCGGCGCGTGCCCAGGGCCAGGCATGTTGTGATGACGGCAGGGAGGCCCTCCGGAATGGCAGCCACCGCCAGGGCCACCGAAATCTTGAAGTAGTAGATGGCGCCCCGAAACCAGGAGCCGCCGTGGACGGGGTCGCTGAAGTGGCTGATGTTGATGACCCACACAGCTATGCAGACCAGGAAAATGACCTTGGAGAGCTGCTGGCTGAACTCATCCAGCTTCTGCTGCAAGGGGGTCTTCTCAGGCTCCGTTTCAACCATCTGGTTTCTGATCTTCCCGATCTCTGTGTATACCCCGGTGGCAATGACAACACCAACAGCCTTCCCCGCTGCGATGTTGGTACCCTGGCAGGGAAGAAAGGACGACAGGCATGAAACCTCAGAGAGAGGTGGGAAAGAGGTCACTTGTGAAAGGAGACCATGGGATCTTGATTAACAGTGAAAAATCAGCCATTGCAACTCCTGGGTTTGCCCCTGACACCAGCCACAGACTAATAACAAGTCTGTTTCTCTCCAGGCTTGACCTCAGCTGATGAGAACCAGAATGACTCTCTTCCCAGCTGGAGCTTTCCCTTTCTAAATTCACACATAGTTCCCAGGCCCGAATCTCCTATGACTGGAAAAAGCCACTTGGCCTATGTATTAGACACATGAGAACATGAGCAAATCCTTGAGATGAATTGCTCCGCATGAGATCCCAGGCCCCTCACACACACGCATGTGCTCCCAATGGCTTACAAGGCTCAGCAACACTCACAAACTCCAATTTTGGTTAGAGAGGAATGAACTTTGCTTCCAGACTCAAATTCCAACAGAAGTAATGAGCCCTCACAATCAGGATGATTTATTTTTTGTGACATGATCCTTCCTAACATGAAGCAAAAGGCAAGGCTCAAATACACTGACTATTCACTGGGTACAGATCCATGGTCACAGTCACCTGCTCCATGAGAAACACAGCAAAAAGCTCCCTTAAAGCACTGTGCCCATCATGGAGCAGTAATTCCCTTTTACCATCCACCGCCCAGAGATGTCCCCTCCCTCCAGGCAAACAGATTTGCAAAAGCCCATGAGAAGTGGTGGCAGGCATGGAGGACTTACAGAGAAGAGCATGTTCTTCTTGTCCTGGTTGACAGCTCGGGGGTCAGGGATGGGGTCAGTATGTTTGATCACCGACACAGACTCCCCTGCCAAGACAAGAGCAGGAAGATGAACCGTTCACGTCTCCTCTCCAAACGCTGTTACTGGACTGGATCAGAAACTCCACAGCTTACAAAAACCTGTGCTTGACCACAAAAATCATCAAAATATTCATCACGGAGATGTCATAGCCAGTGACTTTGAAGGTAATGGTTGCAGAAAAACAACTAGCTGAATTTTGTGAAGATCACCAGAGCTAATGGCCGTTGAGCTGACAACGTATCCAATGGGATGGGGCCAGATTCCTGAGCCAGGAAGGCAGCTAGCTGTTAGCACGGGCTTGCAAGCTCAGGGCTCTGCCCTGGCAACTTTATAGCATCCCCTCTTGCCTCTCACCACTTGAGGAAAAACTCTCTTTGGTCCTAGGACTGAAACCACAAGATCCCTCTTCTCCATAAATAATCCTCCAAGATGCACACACATGAGTTGCCCTCCTATGCAAACACGGGCTTTTTAAGACGCTCTAGCTGTAAAGGTGCCTAAAGCCCTTCTTCTGACAGTTTATGTTTTGTTCTTCACAGATTTGCGCTTTGCTCCATCTGCTCTTGCCCTTAGAGAAGGGAGCAAAGTTAACACAAAGCCACATTTCAAGGAGACTGGGCTCCTTTCCCCATGTTTTTAATATCTTTTTTCTGATCGCTTTTCCTTCCCTGCTGCCGTCTCCTAACATAATGAATTTTAAAAATCATGCAAAAATGCTAAAATCCTGGAAGATTTTTTTTTCTGCCTGGTCCTTCATCGACCTCAGCAGAGGAAAAGGGATCTGAGCGTCTCTCCCCGACAGCAGCAGACGGGCTCTTTGAAACATGACGGGTTCCCAGCTTCATGCGCTTTTCCAGCGCAAACAGCTTCATGTTTCTGGGAAGGAGGCATCACCACCCGCGCTCACCCTGCCTGGGCTCTGAGCTTCAGGTTAGGCGCCAGGACCTCCCAAATCCTGAACCTCGTTCTTCTGCCATGGCAAAACACTTAGTCCAGTGACAGCTCTGAAAGTTTGGGTCAGACCCCCCGGCATATCTGCATGCGCCATCCGTACCTGTGAGGATGGACTGGTCAACCCGCAGCGTCGTGGACCTGATTTCGATGATCCGGATGTCGGCTGGCACCTTGTCGCCAACTACGAGGAAAAGAGCACAAAACGCCGCCGGGTTAAATCTGCAGCGCCCACGTTCCCCGCATCAGCACGGGCATCGGGAGCACCCAGCATGGGAGGTGAGCAGAGCGCTGCTCCGCAGCTCAGGGCACGTGTGCTGGTGGTTGCAGCCCAGTTCCCAGTCCCTTCCCTCTTCCTCTATTTTGGCTGTCAGAGCAAAGGGCAGGCCCTGTTTTTTGCTAGATTTTGAGAAACACTGCATGCAGCTGTAGCCCCAAGCTGGTAGCACCCAGTCTGCTGCTATGGAGAGCCCAGCTCTTGGTGACTTCTGTCCACTACTCCTCCTTTCTGGAGTTAAAGCTTGTTTTGTTGGTCTATAGCTTACACAGCAAAAAGGCAGCAAGGTAGAGTGCAGTGCAGTCAGCTGCAATTGGGTAACGGACAGTGCAGCGATGGGGCCCTGCAGCATTTCCAACTTTAATGCAACTACCTGGGATAAAAGCAGCAGCTTGTGGCGTGGCAGGCACCTCTGCAGACCCACTGCGCGCTTGAAATGCTCCCTCCATGTGCCAGGCCCAGGCGAGAGGGAGCAGTCTGGGGGCAAACAGGGAACCTGCTCAGGTCAATAAATCCCACCATAACATGAAGGTTATGGAAAGAAGAGGCCAACTGTCCCTTTCTTGAGCAAGAGCTTCCTCCTCTCCTCTGCAGAAGAGACCTCGAGCTGCCCCTGTTCTGGCACAGCGGGGCAGAAAGATACATGCACCCCAAGCCCTGCCGAGTGCATGAGTATTTTCTTGAAACCCCTCAAAAGGTGCTTTTCCTACAGAGTTTCTTCCTGCCAGTGCTCAGACCTGCTCTTCCTGCTGCTTCCTCGCCCTTGTCACCCGGCCGTTGGGAAACGCAGAGGCCCGTGGAGCCTGCGCTCGCCAGCGGGATGTACCCATCATACAGCATTGCGACCCTGCCGCCAACGCTCGCCCTGAATGCGACACTTCATGGTGCACTCCCCACCTAGCCTGCGGTCCCCGCGCCACGCGCCGGGGCGGACAGGCACAATGGCACCAGGCAGGCAGTACTCCAGCTGCAAATGCCACCCTGAGCTGATCTGGGCACCAGCAGCTGCTCCAGAGCCCCAGAGCTGCCTCGCCGGGGCAGCGAGGCCCCCTCCCGCGTGGGAAAGGCAGAGGGAATTTGCAAAGCACGCGCTGTTTCCAAGCCTGCAGGTTACACACGCGTTGACAGCATCTCAAGGGAGCGTATCCGAGCCGGGCGCTCTGCTGGCGGGGAGGCTCTCAAGGGCAGATAGCCCGATAGCAGCTGCAGAGCGCGGCACGTAGAGCGCGGCACGGCTGCGCCTGGCCCTGCGGCCACCAAGCTCCCGAGTGGGGAGAGCAGCGGCTCAGCTCACATGTGCAGCCACTCTGCATCCCAGGTCCCTTCCCGATCCTGAATGGCTGGTGCAAAGCCCGGGGCCGGGTCACCAGCTGGAGCTCATCCCTGGAGCAGCGCCAGGTTCCCCAGCTGAGGACCTGGCCACTGAGTCGCTCCTGCGTCCCCTGTGTGTTATTTTTACATGCATCTTCCAGATGAAGAGCAACTGGAAGACATAAATAATGTCAAGCTGGCGCCACACGCCAGGAATTGCAGCTTGTTTCCACTAGCGGGGCCACAAGGAGGAAAAGAGCGGATCAGCACGAGGCATGTGAACACAAAGGAAACCCGAGCACCCGCTCACTGAAACACAGCGCTTCCGTAACACGCAGGTGGGGGCCGCGTCTCTCTGAACGACGACACGATTCCCGAGGGAACTTGTGTCACCAGCTAAGGCCTTCGCCAGCCCTCACTGTCCCTGGACAGTACCAACTTCGCACCACTTTCCCGGGAAACCTTGGTGCTGAGCTGCTCCAGCTCCCTTCCATCCACTCGTACCCCGATAGTGGGAAGGGGACAAAGCAACGGCAGCAAGGGGACAAAAGGCACAGAGCAGGAGTGGAGGATCACGGTGGGGCACTCGGAGCTGGGACTGCTTGCAGGTCAAGACAGAGGAGGGGCCTGCAAACCCAGGCAGGGCCGGCCGCTCCGCCTCTCCCGCCCCACGCGCCGCGGCGGTGAACAACAAACCCGAGTTACCAAGGCTCCCGGCCCACGCAGACGGAGCGAGCGCCGCTTCCCGAGGTGCCGGGAAGGGCCCCGCTCGCGCTGCCGGCACATCCGCGCGGCGGCCCCTGGGGCGCTCTGGCCCGGCCTTCCAGCTCCGTTTCACTTGGGTGTTGTGTGTGGGAGAGCAATTTAGAGAGAGAAGCAGTTCTGGGGAAAATGAAGGGTTCTTCCAACAGAGCAGCTCTATGGGAAACGCTGCAGGAAATCTGCCCCCTCCCAGCAACCCTCCTGCAATAAAATAACCTGCACTAGAGATACCCTCCAGTTTTGTGTCCTCTGCTGAATATGGGCCCCAGACATGGGGTGAAGCCTCCGCAGTCAACAAGCCAAAGCTTTGGCCAAAGCCCCTGTGGCTCTATCTGTTCCCAGCTGTTCTGTCTCGACCCTCGAGCCAAGCAGAAAGGCTTCGAGCCCCTCGTGGCCACTGCCAGCCCCTTGGTCCCCAATGGGGATTTTACCACCCATTTTCAGGCTCTGTTGCTGTACCTGCCACCTCCACGATGTCCCCGGGAACGATATCGCGGGCGCGAATCCTCTGCACGCCGCTCCTGTCGGCACGGATCACCTTTCCCATCTCCGGCTCGTATTCTTTCAAGGCTTCGATGGCGCTCTCGGCGTTTCTCTCCTGCAAGCACAGTGAGGAGCAGAGCTACAGGCAGCCGAGCAGGCTGCAAGGACAGGGCTGAGCACAGGCCTGGGCTCTGCCATGTCCCCACGTCTCTGGACACCGTGGCCAGGGAGAGCATTGCGGCAGTTTGGTGGGAACAGAGGGGACCAAAAGCTCCCCCTCTGAATGTGTGTGGCCACTGCCAAGAGCAGCGTTGCACTGGCAAGGACCGACAAGGCCTTCGGAAGAGCAACACGGAGCCCGGCAGCTCCGCACGGGAGGTGCCGCTTACCTGCCAGACACCCACCACGGCGTTGGCTATCAGGATCATGATGATGACAACGGGCTCCACGAATGCCGTCGTGGTCTCCTCGCCTTCCTCGAACCATGCCAGAATCTGACACAGGCAGAAAGAGAAGAGCCTCAGCGCAGATGAAACTAGAGGTGATGGGAGGTAAAAACAGAGGCTCCAGCAAGAGCCAGCCAACAGGACATGCCTGATGGAGACGCGGCCGCCCCAGATGGCAGCTGGCGGGCCCTGGGAAAGGCAGCACACGGAAAATTGACAGCTGCCAAGCGCTTCCCAGGCAGACGCTGGGACTCCAAGGACACAGAGTGGCACTGCCAGAGCAGGAGCCCCCGTGGATCCAGATTCCTTCCCTGGTGGAGGCAGCGCACATTGAACAGGGACCGGGGCTTTTCTCGAGGCAAACCCTGGGGCTGCCTTCAGCTCCCTCAGCCCCTGTGGCCGGCTGTCCTGCCACACACGTGTGCCCTAAACGTGCTCACCTTGCCCAGGGTAAGGGGCACTTCCAGCCCTACCCTTTCCTTGCATTTTGACTGCATTTTTACAACCCTGAGCTGCCCCCTCTGCACCCTGCAAACACCCAATGCCATTCCACAAGCTCAAAAGAATATATACAAATATTTCCCCTTCATTTAATGGCATGCAGGCTACGTCCTGTGTCAATACAGCACCACCCTTCTTCCTCAGCACCAGAGGCAGCAAGCGCTGCAGCACCAGTCCTTGGAGAGCACCGAGGGCGCTCCTAGGGACACCCCTGCTGTTGATCTTTAGGGTAGGAGGAAGCAGCGGTGCCGCCGGCACAGACGGCCTCGCTGCACCGACACAGCAGCACGCCGAGGGCCCAGCTTTTGTGCTGGTGGTTTTGAGCAGCAAGGTGAGGACTGAAACCCATGTGTCTAGAAGATATTCAGTCAGTGCATGGATAATGTGTCGCCTTCTTGCCCCAAAGAGCTTTCCTCTAAACAACAGGGTGTAGCGAGGAGGACGATGAGGGCGTTCAGCTCCCAAAGCTGCTCCTTGCACGGACTACGGCAGAGCTGCGAGCTCCCTGGCACACGCGTCCTCCTCATCCTTTTGGGGATAGATTTAAGCTTGTGAGGAAGCCGCCTGCCTCCTTCCTTCTCCACAAACCCACCTCGCTTGTTTATCCTTCTCACAGAGGCTTCATCACCCCACTCTCTCCAATTGGTGGGAAGTCAGATCCAGGCACTAAAAGCTCCATGCAAAGTGTTGTGCTTGTGCCAGGCAGGAGCCAGAAGCAATAAGTGTCATTGCCTGTTTAACATGTGATGCCTTGCGGCACCGGGCCATGCTGCTGCTGCTGCCGAGCCCGGCGTCCCCACACCAGCTCCTGATGAACAAATGGGCCAATATTTGAGTTGTTCCATGCTGCACACAAAGGTGGCCTTGCTGAACACGGATCTGGAGCCGGCGGGTGCCGTGTGAGCTCGCAGCGCTGTCACGCGCAGTGCAGACCATGTGCTGGAACGCTCTGCCCCGCGCGGGCTGCCTGCGGGTTTTGCCTGCGCCTCCCTACAGGGAGAGTCCGCTGTGCTCCAGGAGGAGCTGCGGATGAATCACGGCTCGTGCTCAGGAAAGGCAGGTGCCACATGAAGCGTCTCCCTCCAAGCAGGGGAGGGAAGAGCCCTGCCGAAGCTCTGCCGCGTAAGAAGCTCCATCTGTCTCATTATCTCCCCTCACTCCCTCCTTCTCCAGACACAGGATGCAGGTGTCCAGACCATTTTTCCTGTGTGGATAACGACTGCCACATGTTGAACGCACTATGCTTCGAGGGACAACATTAAGTGCAGGAAAAGCTGGACCTTTCAGGGACAACCCACATCGTAATGCAGCATCCCGGGAGCTCCCGATGCCAGGGCAGCCCCGGCAAGGCTTCGTGACATGCTAAACACAAGGAAAATCCACCCCCAAACAGCTCTCGCTGACCCTACCCAAAGGCACTCTTGCATTTTCTGCAGGCAGTTTGTAAGCAAATGTTTGTCTTGCTTGCATTGCCCACATTGCACCCAGCCATATCCCGAAATTCCTGAGCATGCCCCGTGGGGAGAAGCTGGGCTCTGCCCGGCACCTCCGAGGGCTCCTGCAGCTCACATCCGTGTCCCCATGGGCACTCGAACGGAGCAGGCTCGGCAAACAGCAGGCAGGAGGCACCTCCCACGCAGCAGGGCAAAATGCTGCGATTCCAGCTCAGCCAGAGGAAGAAAATTAAACAACATATTGGATTTCCACTTCTAATCTGAAATCTGACTGCCTCTGTGCAGCAATGAAAGGGCTTAGCAAAGCCCAGACTTTAACCCATCAAGAGAGAGACTTTATTTCCAAGCAGGGAAACCACAAGGGTTTGGGAAACACTTCCAGACTTTTTTCCTCAGTAGGCAGAGATGTATGATTTAGCCTTGTGCCCATCCCTGCTGGTAGATCCAACCACAGATGAATATAGCACATGGAATTTTTGAGTTAGCTTTTGTATAGGAGCCCCCCTCATCTCTCATGACCCCCCCACATTTACCTGGAACTCAGGGCTCCACCACTGCCCCAAGCACACTGGCTCTGGCTCAGAAACAAGCCTGCAGCTCCTTTTGTGCTCTGCCTCTCACCAACAGCTTTTTGTCTACTGAGCTACACGGAGGGGCAGAGAGAGATGCTGAACACAGATCTTTGGAATTTCTCATGCTGCAACTTATTTCTTTCCAAGATTTCCAAAGGAAAAATATGGAGCAGCTAAGTTTCCCTTTTTGTTTTATCCATCCATGCAAGTCAATGCACAAGACACATTTTACCTGATGAAAGATGGCACAGAAAATAAATTATAATTAAAACTGGAGAAAGGGCTTGTACATAGGCTCTTTAGATTCTAAATCAGTGGCTGCTCTGAAGTGAGCCCCAAAGACACATCCCCTGCAGCTCTGTCTCATCCACCCCCGCATCCTCTCACTTCACACGTGAGGTTTCTGCAGGGGACACCCTGCCACACTGCACACATGCACCTTGTCCAGCTTGTTCTTGCTCCACGCCCTTTGCAGAACACGAGTGCACATTCCTGCTCAAACAAACACTTGTACTGATTCACCCCTGCGCCAGCTCTGCGTAACCACGCAGGTTCCTGGAACTGGTGAGATAAAAGAGGTCAGACTTCCGAGTAGTGGAGTGGAGAATATACAGTATTTAGAGGCAAGCAACACTTGCTCTCTTCTATGCTCCTCTTTCACATTGTATTTTCCCAATCTTACAAAATTTCTATTGGTCACAGACTTTCTCTGCTGCCCCACAGATGAGAATTTCTGGATTTTGCACATTTAAGATGAATGCTTGGGAGCAGGGACTTCTTTTTCCTTCTTTAGGAGCACTCAGAAGCTGATGCTGGGAGGTCCAGGACCTACAACCAGGGTGCTCGATCCACAATGTTCCACGTCCCCTGCAAGGGATGAAGGGGAAACAGGACAAATTCCAACTCAAGACAAGGCACAAGTTTAGCTGTGAAAACAGCTACGTACGGCAACAACTTTGCAAAGACTGCAGTGGGCTCCATATCTCAGTCTATTTTTACAGACTAGATGTTTTCTGAAACATATGTTCTAAGCTCACCCACTACGATGGGGCTGCAAGAAAAAAAAAATGATTCAGGGAAACCCTAATGTTGATACATGTAGGAAGCTGCACGAGATGATCAAAATGGTTCCTTCTACCCCTACACATATGAATCCGCGTTGATGAAAATCTGTGCACTGCGGCATGGGACAGCCCACTGGCAGAGCACCACGCAGTGCCCACAGGCTGGACCAGCTGCTGGCCTTTTGCTCATGCACCTCTCCATCTGTAAGAGCTACCAGAAACAAAGCCAGTACCAGACCAATACGATAGTAGCTCCTGATAGCAGCTTTCAGGACATAAAGGTATGCTGGAAAGTGGAAACAAATGACCTCATTTTTGTGCCTGTGTCTGATCAGACTAGCAGACACAGGCTTGAACCCACAACAAGGAAAAGTCAGGCAAAAATTATGTAAATGCTGTGAACTGTGAGGTTAGTGAAGGATCTGAACCATCTGGAGACTGTCATTGGAGACCTTTAACAGCAGCTAAGAAAGACATTAAGCCAGAAACGATGTGGGTAGAGCAGATCCTTCTTTGGCACTGGAAGCCATCTCCAGATCTCTCCCAGTCCATTTCTTCTGCATCATTAGGGCTCAGAGTAGAGCAGGACCCTACAAGCTGAACAAGTGGATGGGCACAGGAACCCAACAAGACCGAGAACGTGACAGAACTATCCAGCTGTGACTTTCTCAACAGCTTGACATGAATTTTTTAGCCTGGCTTATTTGAATCAAAGGATTTGCATCTGCCAAACTGTCATTAAATTGCAGGGAAAGAATCCCAAAATGGCAAAGTTTCAGGGTATGCAGATGACTCTTGCTCTTGTAATTAAATTCAATTTATTGGAATTAGCTTTGAATATATTTCCAGGGCTCATCTGACACTGCCCTTAAGCTTTTTCCTGCCCGTCTCCAGTACAGTGTTGAGAAGACAGAAAGAAGCCCAGGAAGGGCTGGGATATCACTTTCAGATGGATCAACATTACTGAACATCCCTCAATCTAATATCAAAAGCACGATACCATGATACTGTACAATACCCTGCGCAACCACGCCAGTGTTCGTACACCTCCTTCACCCAACACTTAGATTCCTTGGATGTTTTTTTGGTTTAGTAACAAACAAATCACAGAAATTAAAGTCTATTTTCTTGGTGCTTCTAAAAATCCCCTGCTTCATTTGGACACAGCATCTTTTAGGCCACAGTCTCAACCACCTCCTGGCTGGGTGCTGTGGGACCCAAGCCTGCTCCTCCCTCCTTGCCTCACCACACTTCCCAACCAGCATCCAAGTTGGCCGCTGGGAGAAAGAGGAGGAGAAGGAAGGATCTCACAGCCCATCCCTCCTTTGGCTGCCATGGGTGCCGTGAGCCTACTCGCGTGGCGCAGCATCAGCTCCCATGTCACATGGATTGGGAAGTGCCCCAAAAGGTGCCCGTCCCCCTGCATGAGCCCTCCTGCGCGGGCTGGTGTTTCTGCGGCAGTGCCGCAGTACTCACAAACGAGAGGAAAGCTGCCACCAGAAGGATGCGGACGAGGAGATCTTCAAACTGCTCCAGCACCAGCTCCCACAGGGACTTTCCTGGCGAGAAAACAAACAAAGCCCAGCACGTGAGAGCTCACAAACTGCAAAGCAGGCAACTTAGACCCCTTGGGCCGCCAGTGGGACCCCATCCTGCACCTGCAGTGGAGCTGCCCGCAGACAAGAACGAGGAGATTCAGGATTGTGGGCCAGCATTAAAGCACACGAACATGAGCACTCATGTCCTGAATCAGCTCTCGTCGCCAGCTCAGCTCAAAGCAGTGAGGGATTTTTCCTTCAAATAGTAAACCTCTTTTCCTTTCTGGCGTTGGTCTGTTTTTTCTAAATCTGTTTCTACTGGAGAGATCAAGTCCTCCATGTTCCTACTCGCAGCCGGTACCACCTGGCCTTCTTCCTTCACAGGAACACGCTGCTCCAGGCCTAGCAATCTCCACAGAGCTGAGATTAAGGCAAAAACACCAGCAAACGCTCCACCTCCCGCCAGCAATGTTGTTGTCCGCATCGGCCACCAGTGTCCTCCAAGGAGGGAGCTGGCCAACTGCATGGACTTACCTTCCTCTGCAGGGAGCTCTGAGGGGGTTTCAGCCATGTCCAAAGAGCAAAAAGGGGAGAAGGAAAAAAAAAAAAAAAGAGATAAATTAGTGCTTTGGAAGAAGACCAGTAAATGCATCCAGCCCCAGAAAGTGAACTTGTTTGAGCAGTTGGGTTTGAAAGCGGTGCAAGTGCACGGGAGCGTGCAGCTTTCGCACCACGGCGTGTCCCGTGGCTCTGCCTAACAGAGGAAACGCATCGAGCAGCCAAGTGCAACGTTTCCCCCGTTGACTAAAGGGGAGACTTATGGGCCAGCACCCAAATTAACCCCTTTTCAGGGTTGTTGGGCAGCTCAGAGCTTAAAAGAGATCCTGCTCCAGGTCCAAGCTCCAAGATACTGCCATAAGACACAAGCAATAATAATAATAACTAATAATAAGCCATTTTTGTAATTACAAACAGGGTCGTCTCCTGCAATGGGTAAGGGAGCAATAACCTAGGGGTTAAGGGAGCAACACTGCTCCCTGCAGCACAGCTGAGAATGGAAGCTCTCAATGCATGGAGTGAGCAGAGCCCCGGCCCCTCAGCCAATTTGGGCGCTGAGGAGCAGCCACACAAACTCCCCCGCTCTGCTTCCTTGGAGCCGCCTTCCGTAAAAAAGCCCCCTTCCCTTCCATTCCGGCTTCGGCAGGGAGGGGAAACACACCGCTAAAACAAAGGCCTCTGCCGCCTCCGGGAAGGGAAAAAAAAGGCCCAAAAAAGCAGAAAGAAGAGCAAGCAGAAACCCAAAATATCTCTGGTGGGGACAGCAGCCTCCCTGGCATGACACGGAGCAGGAATCTGTAGAGATCCTGCTGCTCTGGGATCTCTCTCCCAGGCCGTCAGGATAAACTGTGCAGAATAAACTGTTATTTTAGGCGGCGTTTCCCACCGCCGGGTGGGAAAGAAACCCATCGCAGGGAGCAGCCCATGTGCGCCAAGCTTCAGTGTCGGCCGTGGCTCCTTGGGGCTTCGGAGAGTCCCGCCGGAGCGAGTTGGGACATGCGGGGGTCCCGGACTGGCACAGAGCGAGCTTGGCCCCTCACCACATTCCTAAAGGGTAAAGGAGATTTATTCAAACACCTCGTTGTGTATTTATTAATGCAGCCCCTTGGCAGAGACGCTTCCCAGGTGACGTCTCACGGCAAAATGCTCCAGCTGCCTCTCTGGAGCACGCCCAAGAGCGCGGGCAGCTTGCGGCGCAGCACCCTGCTCACTTGCCGGTGCGGGTGGCAGTGCTCCCCGCAGCAATGTGGCTCCCACAGCCCCAAGTGCGTCCCGGGACAGGGAATTCCGTGGGAAGGAGACAGTGGATTGGGATGGCCCCAAGCGCCAGTCATTAGCAAAAGCCATAGGAGAACCTGAACACGAGTGCGTGCCCTGATTTCACACTGCTCTTCTAAAAATGCTCATGTTTAACTCACTCCATCACCCCGAGGGTGCAGATAACACCGGCCACCGCTCGCAAGGAAGGGGAAAGTTGCCCCGCTTGCACACTCCCTTCTGCACGAGATAACCTTATCTTGACCGGCTCAGGGAGCAGAAACCAAGTTTATCCCCAGTAGGTTGCCGGATGCCAGGGAAGAATCACGCAAATCCGGGTCCGTCCCCGGGACCCCTCGCTCACCCTCGGGAAAAAAAGAAAATCCAAGTTACCACGTGCCAAAGGATAAAGTGCCGTCACCTCCAGCCAAACAGTACAGAGAACACTGCGTCTCACTGCGAGCGAGGACATCGTGTCTGGTTTCGGTAAGAGCACAGAGAGCCAGGGAGGGCAGAGGCCCCAGGCCGGGGCCACCTTTATTCTGCGCAGCAAGGTCTGAAAGCCCCCGCTAGCCGCTGTCCCCCCATCAAAATGTTCCTTCGTTACCTCAGCAGCCTCCCAGCCCCAAACCGCAGCACAGTGTCTGCAGCCTCTGCATGGGGCAGCTCCAGTGCAGGAACCGGAGCACAATAGGAAAAGCCAGGCGAGTTCAGCCATGGGGCTCAGTGCAGCTGCCACCAAACACCCCCAAGGCTGCAACCTGCTTTCCCAGCACTAATCTGCCTGCAGTTTATCATTATTTTAAGGCTGCAAAAGGGCAGAAGTTCCTGCCTAGGGCCAGCTGCGAGTCACACTCACAGGCTCGGAAGTATAAAGCCCTTCCAACATCACACAGGGGAATTGGGTTAAAAACAGGAAAAAATCACCCTCCTTGGCTGGGAGCATTCCTCCGTGCCGGGATTGCGCATCAGGAGTGTGCTCAGGCCTTCCTAGCTGACAGTGTTACCCGAGTCCCGCTGGGCTTCACTCTCCTGACAGCCTCTCCCTCCCTCTGCAGCAGCCACAGGGAATCCCCGGCAATTCCCAGCGGCTGCGGCCGGGCTCCCTCCCCGCCGCTGGCGCTGGCTCCCACGTTCCCTCCTTGGGAGGGCGGCACCAGCCGCTCCTGTGGCCAGTGAGTTTCAGCAGCTTATTTTGGGAGCAGGAGGGCGAGCGTGCGGGCGAGGAGAAGCCCCGGCGCCCGCTGCGCACACAACCTCAAAGACGGGTTTTGTTCTGCCCCGGACCAACTCAGTGGAAAGAATTTCCCACTGAATCTCCTGGGTGGAAAAGCTAAAAAAATGACATTTAAATAGTAACAGGTTTTGGAAAACAAGTAAAACCCACAGGAGCTTGAATAAAATAAGCTTACGCGGGTGATTTTTTATATTTTAAGCTAGGTTTTTAAAGAAACACCCTCTCCCTCAGTTGCAATGGGGAGACCCAGAGCAGGGCACTTCTGGGTGCTGATATCAGCCCAAAACTCCCTTTTCATTTCAAGAAATCTGATGTTCTGCACATTGCACTCGAAATCCATTTCCCCTCACACCTGCGGAACACGCCGGTGAGATGGACAGACAGACGCACTGCAAGGAGGTCGCCTGCAGCAAGTCCATTTTCCTGGCAGCACGTTGAGGAGTTTAGGAAACAAAACAAGCTGCAGGCGTGGAGGGGTCTTGAAAAGCCCAGCGCCACTGGGGCCGCTCGCCTGCCCATTAGCTGCGCTGGGGAGGATAAGTGTATATATATATATATGTATGTATATACACATAGGTATACATACATATACACCCGTGCCCCATCACCAACAGCCGCTGCTCCAATGCTGAACCAACCAAATCCTCTTGCATGATTCCCAATGTCCCAGTACCACATCTGGGGGCAAAATGGGCTTGGAATCTTTAGCAAACGCAGGCGAGCAGAGCACGTTAACACAAGCACTTTGGTTTTCCCCCTTTTGCTTTGCCTTTTGCCCTTGCCAACACCCAAGAAATTGAGTTTTCCGTAATATCTCAGCAATCCGTCTCATGTGTGGTGATCTCCCCCCTCAAAAAAACAGGAGGAGCAAGGTAAGGAAAGCAACTAAAAGAGCAATTTTAAATCCACACCTTGTGTGTCCAGGTGAAAACGCACATCCACCCCTGGACACTGGGAGCTGCTTTGGAGCTTGGATATATGGTGTAGGGGAAGGGGGTATTAACCAATCAGAAAAGCGTGGAGCCACAGAGCACTCAAAACCTCCATCTGCCTTAGTGATCACACTTTCAGATCAGCCCTTGTCAAGAGGAAGGTGGGAACTCTGGGTGAAAAAGTGAAAAAAGGAAGGAGAGTTTGAACGAGGTTTTTATTAAAAAAACAGGAGCCCCAAAATAACATGGAAGCTGGCTTGGCACCATGCCCTGCACTCTCTCTCCTTCAGCCTCACCCCAAGAAACAGCACCATCCATCTCCAAGCCCCTTCATAGAATCATAGAATGCTTAGGGTTGAAAGGGACCTCTAGAGATCATCTAGTCCAACCCCCCTGCACACGCAGGGTCACCTAGAGCACGTGGCACAGGACTGCATTCAAGCAGGTTTTGAAGATCTCCAGAGAAGGAGACTCCACAACCTCTCTGGGCAGCCTGTTCCAGTGCTCTGTCACCCTCACTGTGAAGAAATTTTTCCTTAAGTTCCTGTGGAACTTTCGGTGCTTCATTTTGTGGCCATTACCTCTAGTCCCTTCTTTAAACCCTGAAGCCCATCACCTTGCCTTTAAACCCTGAAGTCCACCACCTTGCCCTGGTGTTGAGGTTCACATTGAGCTGCAGGAGGGAAGAAGGTCCTGGAGCTCCCGAGCATTCAACAGCAGCCAAGAAAACCTTCCACCTGCGAGGAGTAACTGTGGAATTCCTGCAGGAAGGAGGATGGTGGGTCCATGTGCTGCCCTGCAGGACAACCCCATGGCCTCCTCACCACATCTTCAAACCACCTGTGCGGGGCTTTCTGCAGTCGAGTTCTCCTAAAGTGAAAGAGCCCATCATGAATTGGCCAAAGTTTGGGTGTTTGGGGTGTTTTTTTCCTCCCTCTGCACCTCATTTTAGTTCTTTTAGATCCTCTGCTGACTTGGAGGTTGCACAAGGGAGCAAAATGAAGAGCGAGGCACGCAAAGGCTGCCAGTTTGG